GCCTGAAGGAGAGGAACGGCGACGCGAGGGGCACGAGCGCGAGGACGACCTCGATCGACAATCCCAGGCGTCCACGTACCGCGAACATCCGAAGGTCGACAAGCCGCGCATCACGTTGTCTACTTTCACAGGCAGCGATCCGGACGCATGGCTCCACAGGGCAGTCCAATATTTTGAGCTTAATGAAACCGACGGCCCCGATCGCGTGAGATACGCAGCTTATTATCTTGATGGTGAGGCCAACGTATGGTGGCAATGGCTCACACGGATCTATCGCAAGCGACATCAAATTATTACCTGGGATATTTTTGAGAAAGAGTTGCTTACGCGATTTGGTACATCCGATTATCATAACTACAATGAGGCTCTTACGCGCATACGGCAAACAGGCAGCCTACGCGAATATATTAGGGAGTTCGAACGATTAGCTTGTCGCGTACGCGATTGGCCGGAAGATGCCCTGGTTGGCGCGTTCATCGGCGGTTTGAAATTTGATCTGGCCGCTGAAGTTCGACTCGAGAGGCCCGACACCATGCATGAAGCGATGGAAGTGGCACGACGGCGAGAAGATCACCTGGTCGCCACGCGAAGGGGACGGGCGGACGTGCGATTCACGGATACGCGTCGCACGGGACCTAACCCAGCCACGGCCAGCACACGGCCGAACATTAATACTCGGCCAGCGGGGTCGATAGTAAGGCGGCGGTCTCCCGAGGAGGTCAAGCGGCGACGTGAGAAGGGTCTTTGTTTTAAGTGCGAGGAGAAGTTCACTCCGGGGCATCAGTGCAAGCAAGCCTTTGTCATTGAGGTAGCCAACCTGGACGACAAGGAGGATGAGGTCGAGGAGGAACCGCCTCAGGAGGACGAGATTGAGGACTTTAGTGATGAGCCCGAGATTTCGATGCATGCAATGGCAGGGATCAGAGGGCCCAGGACAATGCGATTACCCGCATGGGTCAAAGATCGGAGAGTAATGGTGCTCGTAGACAATGGTTCCTCACATAATTTCATCAATGCTGACTTGTCGCAAAAGTTGAGATTGCCAACCAAAAAAATCGAGCCCTTTGAGGTACGAGTAGCCAATGGAGAGAGGTTGCGATGCTCTGAGTCTTTTCGGAAGGTGCCAATCAAGTTCCAAGGAGTCACGGTAAAAGCTGATCTGTATGCTTTACCACTAGTTGGACCAGATGTCGTGCTGGGAGTCCAGTGGCTCGAAGGACTAGGCAAGGTGACGACCGACTATCGAACAGGAGTTATGGAGTTCAACTCCGAAGGACGGCAGGTCATCTTAAGTGCCGGCACTGATAAGGAAACTAAGGAAGTAGGGCTGAAAAATATTGAAAGAGTTTGGCGAGGTGGAGGCCAAATTTTTGCAGTAATAGTCGAGGACGTGGGAGCACACCCGAACAGGGACGCACAACAACAGGGAGATGTGCGTGAGCTTCTTGAAGAGTTTGAAGGGGTATTGGGCGAGCCCAAAGGACTACCACCGCACCGAGAGTTCGGTCATCGCATACCACTGGTCAATGAACAGCATGCCATTCACGTCCACCCCTATAGGTATGCTCACTTTCAGAAAACCGAGATCGAGCGGCAGGTTGCCGAGATGCTTGAATCAGGACTCATACAGCATAGCAAGAGTCCGTTTTCTTCTCCAGTCCTGTTAGCCAAAAAGAAAGACGGCACGTGGAGGTTCTGTACTGATTACCAAGCCCTAAACGCTGCAACCATCAAAGACCGGTTTCCTATTCCAAGTGTTGATGACATGCTTGATGAGTTAGCAGGGTCGCGATACTTCTCTAAACTTGATCTACGAGCTGGTTATCATCAGATTCGGCTCCACAAAGCCGACATTCCTAAGACGGACTTTCGTACGCACCAAGGGCACTATGAGTATCTGGTTATGCCGTTCGGCTTATGCAACGCCCCATCCACTTTCCAGTTCGCCATGAACTCTATTTTCAAGGAGTATCTGCGTAAGTTCGTTCTGGTATTCTTTGACGATATCCTGATTTATTCAAAGTCATGGGACGAACATCTTGGGCATCTAAGGATAGTTCTCGAAATTCTGGAGGCCAACTCATTCCACATCAAACCATCTAAATGTTCATTCGGACAGGAGATGGTTGAATATCTTGGACATTTCATATCACATGACGGTGTGAAGGTCGACCCACGAAAAATTGAGGCTATGGTCGACTGGCCTAAGCCAACTAGTCTCACACAGTTGAGAGGATTTTTGGGGCTTACAGGTTACTACCGGAAGTTTGTAAAGGATTATGGAACCATCGCTAAGCCACTGACAGCAATGACTAAGAAGTGTGGGTTCACATGGACCGAAGCTAGCGAGAAGGCGTTTGGAAAATTAAAAGAAGCTATGACGACAACGCCGGTACTCGCCATGCCCAGATTTGATGTCTTGTTCGAGGTACACACCGATGCGAGTGACATCGGAATTGGGGTTGTGTTAGTGCAAGAGGGGCGACCCCTAGCATATCTCAGCAAAGCACTGGGCACTACTCGGTTAGGTTTGTCGGTGTACGTGAAAGAGATGCTAGCAGTCGTCGAGGCTGTACGATGCTGGAGGCCTTATCTACTAGGATGAAGATTTCAGATTGTTACCGACCAGCAGCCGCTCAAGCACCTGTTGGAGCAAAGGATAG